TTATTATTACAATAACATAATAATAATAATAATAATAATAATATTAGTATTATATTATTATAATATTATATTATAACTATAATTATAATCATAATTATAATTATGATTGTAATTATAATTATTATAATTATAATTAATTACAATTATAATTATAATTAATTATAGATATAATTATAATAATTACAATTGATATAGTTATAATTATAAGAATTATAATTGTAAGTATAATTATAATTACATATAATTATAATATAATATTATAATAATATTAATCATATTATTATTATTATAATATTGTAATAATAATAATAGTCTTCTTAATAATTGCATTTATATTACTATTATTATATTAAAATATTATAACTATATTAATATCTTATTTTTATATCATATTATTATTAATATTATTAATAATAATTATATAATAATAATCATAATAGTAATAACAATATTAATAATAATTAATATAAAAATAAAAGTGATAAATCATGTTTGAACTTTTCTGATCTGATCTGATCTGAATGTTTCTAATCTGATCTGAATGTTTCTGATTTGATCTGAATGTTTCTGATCTGGTCTGATCTGATCTGAATCTTTCTGATCTGATCTGATCTGAACTGAATCTTTCTGATCTGATCTGATCTGATCTGAATTTTTCTGATCTGATCTGATCTGAATTTTTCTGATCTGATCTGATCTGAATAAAATAAGAATAAGTAATACTCCCTCCGTAACTTAAAAATCTTCTCACTTTCCTTTTTCGTCCGTAACAAAAAAATCTTCTCATTTCTAAATCTTCTCATCATACCCTCAATAATTCTTAAAATAATACACTATTACAACTACTTTTTTTTGGATATTCATATATATATCAACAAAACTCCGTATGCTATATATATATAAATATATAATAGCTAAATCCATATAAATCCATGATATCAAATATGTATGAACTAAGATTAGAACAATACCTTGAGAATTCATTTGCATTAACACTTTAAGAAGACCCGGAATCCAACACGATTGATCGGCCTAACCTTCCAGTCCTATGTACCGTATGAGATGTTGATTATTCTAGTCCTACCTATTGATGGGATATATATAGGACTAGTGGAATATTGTAACGGTTGGCCCTTAGTATTCTAATAACTCCTTTATTATTATTACAATAATGATATTATTTATAATAATTTATTAGGCCATTTTCCGTTACAATATCTTTACTGTTATCTCTTAGTTTACACGCACCGGGGGTCATAACCGTTGTATCACTTTAGTGTAATATATTTAATTTGACCCGTCACCAAAAGAAATATATTATCCTGGTATCTACACTTTTATTATTTCATGAATAGTCACTGTATTATTTATTTGATGGTAAACACATTTTAATTAATTACATATTAGGCCCCTTTTATTGTTTTCCAACAATCTCCCACTGGGCCTTATATGTAATTCTTAACAAAATGTGTTATCTTTATGAGCTCAAAAATACCATCATATAAAATAACATCCTTAAACAATCTGGTCCATCAGTAATACTAATATAGAACCATTGCAGCATTTTGTTATGTTAAACATAACTATACCACCAATGATCACTAGTATCAATATTACATAATGACATAGATCAATCATGAAATGTGTAGCATGAAAATTACATGAAATGTGGCATGTACATGTAAATTTTCAACTGACCCTTCTTTAATAAACTTTAAACTTTAATATCTTAATTGTTCAGAATACACCAAATGTCAAACTTTATTCTGATCAGAAGATAAATTCATAAAGCAATAGAACATCAAGCATAACTTATAAACTCCCACTAAACTTGAGGTTCCTTAAAATCAATGACTCCCAAGTGAGCAGTATGCTCATGAAAAACTTTTGGTGGGAGACCCTTGGTTAAAGGATCCGCTAGCATGGAGTTTGTACTTATATGTTCAATAGCGACCCTTTTATTCTGAACCCTTTCTTTAACAGCTCGATATTTCACTTCAATGTGTTTTGTTTTGTCTTGCTCGAGCTCTTGTTGTTGTTAGAGTAAAGCACCGTAGAATTATTGTCACAAAATATCTTGATAGGCTTTGAAACATCATTTATTATTTTCAGCCCATCAATAAAATTGTGCATCCATATTCCATGGTTTGAAGCTTCAAAACAGGCCAACAACTCTGCCTCCATAGTTGAGGTAGCTATCATATCTTGCTTAACACTTTTCCAAGATACAGCACCACACGCTAGTAGATAAACATAGCCTGAAGTAGATCTACTAGTGTCTTTGCAACCGGCAAAATCAGAGTCGGAGTATCCAACGACCTCCAAATGATCTGATTTTTTATATGTAAGCATATAGTCCCTTGTTCTCTTTAAGTATCTCATAACTCTTTTGGCCGCCACCCAATGAGCCATTCCTGGATTACTGAGATATCTGCCTAACATCCCAACAATGTACGCAATATCCGGACGCGTACAAACTTGGGCATACATAAGACTTCCTACAACAGATGTGTAGGGAATCTTTTTCATTTCTTGAATTTCCAGATTTGTTTTAGGGCACTGATCGAGACTAAACTTGTCTCCTTTAGAGATAGGGGTATCACACGGTCTACAATCTTCCATGCCAAATCTTTTAAGGACCTTATCGACATAGTTCCTTTGTGATAACCTTAAGATTCCTTGTGATCTCTCACGGAGGATTTCAATTCCTAATACAAAGGAGGCTTCACCAAGATCTTTCATTTCAAAATGTTTTGATAGAAATCTCTTGGTTTCATGCAACATGCCTATGTCATTAGTGGCAAGAAGAATGTCATCAACATATAAGACCAGGAAAAATATTTTACTCCCACTGAACTTATGATATACACAATCATCTACATCATTCATCTTAAAACCGAAGGATAAAATGACTTGATGAAATTTGTGATACCATTGACGAGAAGCCTGTTTTAGCCCATAGATGGATTTTGTTAATTTGCAAACCATTTGTTTTGGATCTCCAATCACAAAATTTTCTGGTTGCACCATATAAATAGTTTCATCAATGTCACCATTGAGAAACGCCGTCTTAACATCCATCTGATGAAGCTCTAAATTAAAATGTGCAACTAAAGCCATAATGATTCTAAAAGAGTCCTTTGATGAAACCGGAGAAAAGGTCTCTTTATAATCATTTCCTTCTTTTTGAGTATTACCTTTAGCTACAAGACGAGCTTTATATCTCTCCACATTACCCTTTGAATCCCTTTTGGTTTTAAATATCCATTTACAACCAATGGGTTTACAACCTTCGGGTAATGGGACGAGTTCCCAAACTTTATTGTCTTGCATAGATTTATACTCCTCATTCATTGCCACAATCCACTTTTGAGAATTTGAACTTTTCATGGCTTGACGGAAGTTGATTGGATCATCTTCCATAACACCACTTTCTTCCTCATGTTCTTGAATAAACACAAGGACATCGTTCTCTGTATCCATGCTTGACGCATGTTCTTGGAGATATACAACATAATCATCCGGAATTGCGTATCTCCTCTCTCTAGTGGATCGCCGCAATGACACATTTTCTTGTTGCACTTGCTCTAGAGGAAGTTGAGTTTGTTCATTTTGAACAATTTCTTCAGTTTGGAAAGGAGATGATGAAATAATGTCTTGTTGAGTTTCCTCATTAGTTTCAAAAGAAACATCCGTATGAATTGGTTCAGGTATTGAAATCAATTCTTCCTCAAAGACAATATCCCTAACTTTATTCTTCCCCCCAAACACAACATCCTCGAAAAATATGGCAGTTCCCGTCTCAAAAATATTTTTATCCTCGGGATTATAAAATTTATATCCCCTAGATCGCTCCGAGTAACCAATAAAGTAACTACTAACTGTTTTGGGTTCCAGTTTCTTTTCATGTGGCCTATACGGCTTTGCCTCAGCTGGACAACCCCAAATATGAAAATGCTTTAAACTAGGCTTTTTACCTGTCCAAAGCTCATAAGGTGTTTTAGTAGTTGCTTTAGTTGGCACTCGATTAAGAATGTAAGCTGCGGTCTTTAATGCCTCACCCCAGAGGGATTCCGGTAAGATAGAATGAGAAATCATACTTCTTACCATTTCTTTAAGGGTTCTGTTACGTCTCTCAGCTACACCATTCATGTTAGGTGAACCCGGCATGGTGTATTGAGGGACAATCCCACATTCCTCTAGAAATTTGGCAAAAGGCCCTGGACGTTGTTCACCTGAGCCGTCATACCTCCCATAGTATTCACCACCACGGTCGGATTTGACTTTCTTTATGCGTTTGTTGAGTTGATTATCAATGTGATACCTTGAAAATTTGAAATAAAAATAAATAAATAAATCAGATAAGTTATATCTGATAAATCAAATGAAAGTAAGATCAAAATATTTTTTTTATTATACTTGGTGTATAAAAATATACGCACACTACATGCAATAGAATTAAACACTTATGTAGCATCGGAAAAATAAAATAAAAAATAAAATAAAAATAAAATGGAAATAAATCAGATAAAATATAGGTGACAGAATGAATAAATAAATAAATAGATAAATAAATAAATAAATAAATAAAAATAGTAAGCATATTATAAATTACTAATAATAGCATCAAATTAATAAATGAAAATATCATATCATAAAACAATGACACATGCTAAGATCACCTACCAAATAATGTATATACATTATGTACATATATTTAAATATATATATTTATATGTAGAACTCAAAATACATTTAAGTAATTAAAAATAATAATAATAAAATAAAATAAAATGAAACATCAATATAAATGGGAATCAAATCAGGGATCAATACACATGCCATGTTCATCAACTACCAACCTATCATTATGTATAGACATTATTATTTTTATTATTATTATTATTATTATTATTATTCATACAATTATCAAATAAATAAAATAAACCATAAGGACCATCTAGACCTATAAATACACCCTCTTAGCCATCCTAAACACTGCAAATCGGAGAGATAGAAGCTATATATACATATACATATGTATACATAATCTCGCCGGAAAATTTATGCCTATAATATTTTACGTATCAAACTTCGTAAAAACGATAGAGGAGGGTCGTGAGAGGTCTAGGAATACTTCCCAATAAATTCCAGACCGATTCGTAGTCACCGGAGTTTCTTAGAAGTCGCCGGAGTTGCAAGCCGTGGAAACGGGTCTTCAGAAAAGACACGATTTTGCCGTAGATAGGGGTGGCGGAGCTTCTCCTCGACGTGAGGATCATTTTGCAACTTGAATCGTCGAAATCCGTTACCTGTAAGTAACGTTATCGCTCGCCGGAGTTTTCGGGATTCCGGTCGCCGGAATCGCGACCTGGAGAAGAGCTGGGAAGGAGACAACCCAGTCTTCTTGGGCCGGGTCGCGAATTTGGGCCGGTTCGGCCCATTTTCAATAAAAAATTAAAAATAAAATAGTAAATGAAATAAATAAAATCTGGAAAAATATAAATTAAATACCTGGTATAAAAATACATATTCGGACCAAGAATAATTGAAAAATAATATTTTTAGCTATTTTTAATTGATTTAATTGTAATTGGGCCAAGTTGTACACATTTAGTAAATAATTAACTAAATGACGAAAATAATTATGAAATAAATATGGGAGCAAGCTAGATTAAATATATGACTAACTAGGACATTTGGGACCATTTATAATTAATAAAAATTATAATTAGCATATTTAATTGTAATTAAACCGGTTAATAGATATATGAAATTAAGTGAATAAATAAAGGAAATAATTCTAAAATAAATATCTGGACAACCTAGGTCAAGTATAGACCCAAACTATAGGTATGGATGATTAGTAATTTATAAAAGTGATGATTAAGTTATTTAATTTAATTGATCCATATAAACTAGTTAAGTAATTAAATAAGGAAATTTTGATATTAATGGTGAAATAAATAAATCACTAAGATTGAAAATAATGTTCTGGACTAAAAATGATGTTTGTAATAAAATAAGGAAAAGAAAATAAAGTTGGGTTATAAATGAATGACTATATTTGGACTTAATAAATAAATTATTGAATTAGTTGACTAATTAAATTAGCGTGATTAAATTAATAATTATTACCCTTGATTATTAGTGATTTGGACTCCATATAAATTATTAAACTATTTGAACTCATAAAAATTAGTTGATGAATATAAACAAATTAATTAAGTAATGTGTACTTAATAAGTTAGTTAATTGACTTCATTGGACTAGTTTAACTAAATCAATTAGTTTAATGGATAAATTAGTTAATTTATAGACTTGATAACATTTCTGGAATTTATATTAAAAATAGAAAATTAAAACGAGATTAGAATTTGATTATTGGACTTAATTGAATTAGATTAACGTATTTAGCTATATTGATATAATTAAACTTATTTATTTGATTTAGTTAGTTCAATTAAATTAGTGAGTCAAATAAATAAAACTTGAGGATTGTATAAATTAATTTAATTGGGTTAGTTAGTATAAATAAACTATTGAACTAATTAAAGTTGTTATTGAGATTAGATTATCATTAATGATTATTATTTCGAATTATTGCCTAAGTCAAGTTATTATTAAAAGGGTTAGTAAATAAATTATATAAATTATGTAAACTGAATTTTGAACTGAAATTGATTATTTAAATTCGAAATAATGAAATTATTATGAAGTTAATATAATTGGACCAGTAAACTATTTAACCAAACAAATTAAGAAAAACCGAGTTGGGTTATTATAATTAAAGAAAATAATAAGAATGAACTGGAAATAAACAGTTAGTAAGATTTATTAATTTAATATTTATATTTAAAGAAGGAATTATGAAGTTAAAGTAATTGAAGGTTGGATATAAAAGAAATAACGAAATAATAGAATAGTTATTGATTTAGAATTTTGATCAATATTAGAAGGAGAATTCAAGTGAAGATCAAGCTAGAGATTTTATTAAGGAGATTATCGCAATTTAAGGTAAGTTCTATGTCAACCAAAATGTTTTGCCTCGTACTTATATGTATGCAATATTTGCACTATGTGAATTATTTATGAATTGGAAATTATATGTTTGACATGAATCGAATATTTTGACTATATGAATATTGGTGAATTATTACCTTTTATGGATGATTGAATGTATATTCTTTTTATTAAAGAATATTGGTGGATTTATATTTATTACAAAGGATATTTTGAGAAAATGTGACAAGAATGATTTGGGGAAAACTTAAAGTTTTCATAATATATATTCTTACGTCTCGAGAGAAATACGAGGCGTGGGTGGTTAGGGCTACTACTACTTTTGGTGAAATTTATTTGGGTCGGTAACCAGTCCGGCAATGACATACTCCGGTAGACATCCCGGGCTTTTATTTGAGGATCAAAGATCCTTTGGTGGTCGTAGTAGTAGTTACCTAATTTACCCTTGGACAATGTCCCTTGTGAGTAGGTGGTAGAAAACATCCCGCCTACTTGGGTTTCTTACTACTCGGAGGGCTTGGAATCCCTTTTAGAGGGTGTGCACACTTAAGGTAGAAATTCAGCTTCCAATTGGTGGTCGGTGGGAGCCGGAATTCCGGGATGAGTCGTAGATAACAACGACTCATTGGGCTCGAGGAATCTTGAGTTTCGCCCACTCTTAAAAGAATCTAAAGTATTACTTTTGGAAGAATTGAAGGATGATCTTATCTATTGTGGAAATTATTTTATGACATTAAACCATTTTGAAAATATGAGAGACTACTTTTCAATATATATACATATACAAAAACCTATTTTCCAAATTATATTATTTTACGGGTTCGGGTGGAATCTTACTTAGCTCTGAAGCTAATTTTTGTCTCTTTTCCCTTTTTCTCTTTGCTCTATTGTACAGATGATTATGATTATGAAGATTGATGTACTTGCTGCCCGAGTGTTCCGCTAGTTGCACACGTTTGATTAATTATTGTTGTTTAAATTTGTAATCCATAAACTTTGTTTAAGTTTTATCTGATGACTACTTGAATTAATGGTGGATAGCCTGTGCACTCAATCATGTATAGGTTGAGTGTGGCGGTGACACACCTGTTTTTCCATCAAAGACTTCCGCTGTACTCTAAATATGTTTTATAATAAAGATGTTTTCATTTCAAAATGTTATTTTATTTTGGTGGGAAAAATGGGGGTGTTACAAGTTGGTATCAGAGCCTTAGGTTTTCCAAAGGGATTAGAACACGAGGTAATAGGTTGTATGGAGAAATTCTGTCACCAAGACGATAAGAGTCTAAGGCTGTTGGTTCTTAATTGAGCCTTTGCGCTCGTCCAACTACCTGGGAATTTCTCCTTGTGCTGAAACTTCGTCGTTCGAAATCGTTGAAGGAAACCTTTGAAATTGTACCTTCAAAAGGGAGATTTTCAAATATTTTTAAAATTAGGAAAGATAATATAGCTAGGAAATGGCCTTTTAGGAACGTGGTGAGGACCTTGTGAGTATTTATTTTCCTTACATGTATCATGTATGTGATAATTATGCTAATTGTGGGCCCATATGAGAAATGGGAACCCCAAATGCTAAATGGAATGCCTCATAAGGCAAAATTCCTAAGTGGCTAAGGTATGTACAAACATTATGTGCGAAAGTGATCTTATGTGAAGTATGAATCCCCTGTATGATTGTTATGTACATTTTTATATATTCTTGTTACATAGCCTATGGAATCCTTAGTTGAACTAGGATCCTTAGGAGTAAAATATAGAAATTCTTACACGAATACTTTGTGTCATCAAGATATCATGGCACCAAGAAGAGACCCTGATAACACGCCCACCAATGCTGAGTTGGCACAAAGCGTTCAGCAACTGGCACAATTTATGCACACACTGGGTGCTACTGTGCTCCAGAACAACCAAAACCAGAACAACGGGAATGATGCCGCAAAACGAGTGGCATCTCGCAACCCTCCAAGCTTTCATGGGCAAGAAGATCCTCGTATCCTCGAGAATTGGCTCCGACTCTTTGACAAACTCTTCGACGCAGTGAGCTGTCCGGAAGAACAAAGGGTTGACATTGCTGTTTACTATTTACAGCAAGAGGCGGATAACTGGTGGGTCTCATCAGGCCCAACTTTACGTCAACAACCTGACTTCAATTGGGAAGCTTTCAAGATTGCCATGAGGAAACGTTTTTATCCTGCACACGTTCAGGCCACCATGCGTGATGAATTCATACATTTGAAACAGATGGGCATGAGTGTCCAGGAATATCACAATAAATTCGTGGACCTCGCGCCATTTGCGAAAACAATAGTGCCTGATGAAAGCACCAAAGTTGAGAAATTTATCTACGGATTAAACTATGATACGCAGAAAATCGTCGCTGTTTTGGGTTGCCAAACTCTGACTGAAGCTTATGATAGAGCTGCAGTTCACTATCGAGTTCAGCAACTACAAAGAGAGAGGAACCAGAAGATGAAGAGGGACGAAGATGGAGGTCGAGGAGAAAAGAGGGTCAGAGTGCACCCACCTACACAGCAACAAGAAGGGAGGAGGAGGAGAGATGACCAAGGTGGAAGAAATTTCCATGGTCAAAACCAACAAAATGATCGAAGAGTTGCTCCCAGAGATAGACACTTCTACTGCAAGAGGTGCGGGAGAGATCATCCTGGTGTTAATTGCGATGGAAGCCTGACAAAATGTTTCAATTGTGGGAAGCTAGGGCACCGAACCTTCGAGTGTCTCTCAAAGACCAATGGGGCACCAGTGCACCAGGTGCAATACCGTGATGGAGGAAGGCCAGATATGAACCAAGCTGGGCCAAATGGAGGACAAAATAACGACAATGCCGCCGCCAACAACAACCGCAACCCTCGAGGAGGAGGGGAGAATAATCATGGCAATGGCAATGGCGGGAACAATGGCAACGGCGGAAACAACGGCAACCGTCCGAACCAAGGGCGAATCATGGTGATGAATCAGGCCCAAGCCAATGCTAATGATGTGGTTTCAGGTACATTCCTTGTAAATTCTGAGCCTGCTTATGTTCTATTTGATTCTGGTGCTTCTCACAGTTTCATATCTTCTAGTTTCGTTAAGAAATTGAAGATTGAACCAACGGCTAGAATAGACTTGAATGTAAGAACCGCCTCAGATAAATTTGTAACTTGTGAAAATGTATACTCCAACATTCCCATACTCATATCTGAATCCAACCTACCTGGAGATTTAATCCAATTTGACTTAAAAGATATTGACATAGTACTGGGCATGGATTGGTTGGGGAAATACAAAGCCAGGATCCTCTGTGATGAACAGAAGGTGATCTTGAAGGGTCCAAATGGGAAGCGAATATCTTACAAAGCAATCACATCCAAGCCTAGTATGAGGCTGATGACTATGCAACAATTAAGGCGACATATCCGAAAGGGGTATGAAACATACCTGTGCTTTATGAAAGAGGTGAATACAGGGGAGCCAAACATTGACCAAATTGCCGTAGTCAATGAATTTCCGGATGTATTTCCGGAAGAGATTCCAGGGATGCCACCCGAGAGAGAAGTTGAATTCTCAATTGAGTTGATGCCCGGAACCGCGCCAATTTCAAAAGCACCTTACCGGATGGCACCGAAAGAAATGCAGGAGCTGAAGGAACAACTAGAGGAGTTGTTAGAGAAGGGGTACATAAGACCGAGTGTCTCACCTTGGGGTGCTCCGGTCTTATTTGTCAAAAAGAAAGATGGGAGTCTAAGGCTATGCATCGATTACCGAGAGTTGAATCAAGCAACTATCAAGAACAAGTACCCATTGCCCCGAATTGACGACTTGTTTGATCAATTGAAGGGGGCTAGCACATTCTCTAAGATAGACTTGCGCTCTGGATATCATCAAGTGAGAATATCCGAAAAAGATGTACCAAAAACAGCATTCCGCACGAGGTATGGACACTACGAGTTCACTGTGATGCCGTTTGGTTTAACAAATGCACCGGCAGTATTCATGGACCTAATGAACCGTGTATTCCGACCTTATCTTGATACATTTGTGGTGGTATTCATCGATGATATTCTTGTGTATTCAAAAACCCCAGAGGATCACGAGAAACACTTGAGACTCACGTTACAAACTTTGAGAGAGAATCAGTTGTATGCCAAACTCTCAAAGTGTGACTTCTGGCAGGATCGGGTAGCGTTCTTGGGTCACATCATCACCCAGGAAGGCGTATCCGTAGATCCATCGAAGATTGAAGCGGTGGTTGAATGGCGTGCACCTACCTCGGTCACAGAGGTAAGAAGTTTCTTGGGTCTAGCGGGATACTATAGGAGATTTGTTAAAGATTTCTCCAAGATAGCAAGACCGCTAACCAACCTGACAAAGAAGACAACCAAATTCCAATGGAATGAAGATTGTGAAGCAGCATTCCAAGAGTTGAAGAAAAGACTCACAACTGCGCCGGTCTTGACACTACCGTCAGGGACGGAGGGATTTGATATCTATAGTGATGCATCCAAGAAGGGGTTGGGGTGTGTGCTGATGCAGAATAGGAAAGTGGTGGCTTATGCATCAAGACAACTAAAGGTGCATGAAGTCAATTATCCTACCCATGACCTGGAGTTAGCTGCAGTAGTGTTTGCTTTGAAAATCTGGAGACATTACCTATACGGAGCACATTGTAAGATATACACTGACCACAAAAGCTTGAAGTACATATTCACTCAAAAAGAGCTTAACATGAGGCAAAGAAGATGGCTCGAGCTTATCAATGATTACGATCTAGAAATCCAATACCACGAGGGAAAAGCTAACGTGGTGGCGGATGCTTTGAGTCGGAAATCTGAGCACTCATGCCGAGCAACATGGATATTACCAGAAGAACTATTCCGAGACTTCCAAAGATTGAGCTTGGAAGTAAAGCAATATGGCGAAGTAGATGGTGAAATACAGTTATGTACTATGACTGTTATACCATCTATCTTTGACGAAATCAAGAACGGACAACCGGGAGATGTAAAGCTCGAAAGAATTAAGGAAGGAATGAAAGATGGCGTCAACGGACCATTTAAGGTACATGAAGATGGGAGCATCCGATACAAGGGAAGGTGGTGTGTTCCACTGAAGTGTACAGATATTAAAAAACAAATCATGGAGGAGGGACACAACACGCCCTACTCGGTACATCCCGGGGGAGACAAACTATACAAAGACCTCAAAAAGAACTTTTGGTGGCCGGGAATGAAGAAAGAAGTAGCTGAATTTGTATCCCGATGTTTGAACTGCCAAAAAGTCAAAGCGGAGAGATGCAAACCCAAGGGACTCGTGCAACCCTTGGAAGTACCAACATGGAAATGGGATTCAATCTCAATGGACTTTGTCGGGGGTTTACCTTTAACAAAGTCCGGGAAAGATAAAATTTGGGTGGTAGTGGATAGATTGACCAAAACTGCAAGGTTCATTCCTATGAATGAAACCTGGAGCATGGAGAAACTGGCAAAAGCCTATGTCAAACACGTGGTCAAACACCACGGAGTACCTCAAGACATCGTATCAGACCGAGATTCACGATTCTTATCCCAATTTTGGAAAGAATTACAAACGGCTATGGGAACAAAATTGAAGTTAAGTACTGCTTTCCATCCAACCACGGACGGACAGACCGAAAGAACAATCCAAACATTAGAAGACATGTTGAGGGCATGTGTTCTTGATTTGCAAGGATCATGGGATGAACACCTAGACTTGGTAGAGTTTTCGTACAATAACAGTTACCATGCTAGCATCAGAATGGCCCCATACGAAGCTCTATATGGTCAAAAGTGTAGGAGTCCCTTATGTTGGGGTGACATGGTCGATCAGGTGGTTCTAGGACCACAATACTTGCAAGATACTATTGAGAAAATCAAGGTCATCCAAGAAAGGATGAAGGCTGCCCAAGACCGACAGAAATCATATGCCGATCTTGGGAGAAAACCAGCTGAATTCGAACTAGGGGAGAAAGTTCTACTCAAAGTCTCTCCTACAAGAGGCGTAATGAGGTTCGGGAAGAAAGGGAAACTAAGCCCGAGATTCATCGGACCCTATGACATCCTAGAGAAGGTGGGAAAAGTGGCATATCGATTAGCTCTACCCACGGAGTTGGATAAGGTAACAACCGATTTGAAATCAAATACTTCTCTACGATTAAAATACATTCTTAACATACCGATATATGCTAGGTACATAACGTCTTTCACGTATCACAATTAAAGAAGTATGTTCGAGATGAGTCACATATCATCAATCCGGAGGTAAGAAATCCTAGACTTAACATGAGCCAAACGTAAATTGAAAAGAATATAAGTTAACCGTTATATTATTAGGTGATTGAAATGGATGAGACATTATCCTACGAAGAAAAACCCATAGAGATTCTCGATACTAAGACCCGAGAGACAAGGAAGAAGACAGTTAAGATGGTAAAAGTACTTTGGTCAAACCATTTGACCGAGAATGCAACATGGGAAACCGAAGAGGATATGCGTAAACGGTATCCTGAACTTTTCAATTAAGGTAAATATTCGGTTACGAGGACGTAACCTTTCTTTTAGGGGGGCAGGTTGTAATATCTTATAAACCTATAATACTTCATCTTCATACTTAATTCTCGTCTTTGTTTATGCTTCGAGGACGAAGCATTCTTTAAGGAGGGTAGAATGTGATACCTTGAAAATTTGAAATAAAAATAAATAAATAAATCAGATAAGTTATATCTGATAAATCAAATGAAAGTAAGATCAAAATATTTTTTTTATTATACTTGGTGTATAAAAATATACGCACACTACATGCAATAGAATTAAACACTTATGTAGCATCGGAAAAATAAAATAAAAAATAAAATAAAAATAAAATGGAAATAAATCAGATAAAATATAGGTGACAGAATGAATAAATAAATAAATAGATAAATAAATAAATAAATAAATAAAAATAGTAAGCATATTATAAATTACTAATAATAGCATCAAATTAATAAATGAAAATATCATATCATAAAACAATGACACATGCTAAGATCACCTACCAAATAATGTATATACATTATGTACATATATTTAAATATATATATTTATATGTAGAACTCAAAATACATTTAAGTAATTAAAAATAATAATAATAAAATAAAATAAAATGAAACATCAATATAAATGGGAATCAAATCAGGGATCAATACACATGCCATGTTCATCAACTACCAACCTATCATTATGTATAGACATTATTATTTTTATTATTATTATTATTATTATTATTATTATTCATACAATTATCAAATAAATAAAATAAACCATAAGGACCATCTAGACCTATAAATACACCCTCTTAGCCATCCTAAACACTGCAAATCGGAGAGATAGAAGCTATATATACATATACATATGTATACATAATCTCGCCGGAAAATTTATGCCTATAATATTTTACGTATCAAACTTCGTAAAAACGATAGAGGAGGGTCGTGAGAGGTCTAGGAATACTTCCCAATAAATTCCAGACCGATTCGTAGTCACCGGAGTTTCTTAGAAGTCGCCGGAGTTGCAAGCCGTGGAAACGGGTCTTCAGAAAAGACACGATTTTGCCGTAGATAGGGGTGGCGGAGCTTCTCCTCGACGTGAGGATCATTTTGCAACTTGAATCGTCGAAATCCGTTACCTGTAAGTAACGTTATCGCTCGCCGGAGTTTTCGGGATTCCGGTCGCCGGAATCGCGACCTGGAGAAGAGCTGGGAAGGAGACAACCCAGTCTTCTTGGGCCGGGTCGCGAATTTGGGCCGGTTCGGCCCATTTTCAATAAAAAATTAAAAATAAAATAGTAAATGAAATAAATAAAATCTGGAAAAATATAAATTAAATACCTGGTATAAAAATACATATTCGGACCAAGAATAATTGAAAAATAATATTTTTAGCTATTTTTAATTGATTTAATTGTAATTGGGCCAAGTTGTACACATTTAGTAAATAATTAACTAAATGACGAAAATAATTATGAAATAAATATGGGAGCAAGCTAGATTAAATATATGACTAACTAGGACATTTGGGACCATTTATAATTAATAAAAATTATAATTAGCATATTTAATTGTAATTAAACCGGTTAATAGATATATGAAATTAAGTGAATAAATAAAGGAAATAATTCTAAAATAAATATCTGGACAACCTAGGTCAAGTATAGACCCAAACTATAGGTATGGATGATTAGTAATTTATAAAAGTGATGATTAAGTTATTTAATTTAATTGATCCATATAAACTAGTTAAGTAATTAAATAAGGAAATTTTGATATTAATGGTGAAATAAATAAATCACTAAGATTGAAAATAATGTTCTGGACTAAAAATGATGTTTGTAATAAAATAAGGAAAAGAAAATAAAGTTGGGTTATAAATGAATGACTATATTTGGACTTAATAAATAAATTATTGAATTAGTTGACTAATTAAATTAGCGTGATTAAATTAATAATTATTACCCTTGATTATTAGTGATTTGGACTCCATATAAATTATTAAACTATTTGAACTCATAAAAATTAGTTGATGAATATAAACAAATTAATTAAGTAATGTGTACTTAATAAGTTAGTTAATTGACTTCATTGGACTAGTTTAACTAAATCAATTAGTTTAATGGATAAATTAGTTAATTTATAGACTTGATAACATTTCTGGAATTTATATTAAAAATAGAAAATTAAAACGAGATTAGAATTTGATTATTGGACTTAATTGAATTAGATTAACGTATTTAGCTATATTGATATAATTAAACTTATTTATTTGATTTAGTTAGTTCAATTAAATTAGTGAGTCAAATAAATAAAACTTGAGGATTGTATAAATTAATTTAATTGGGTTAGTTAGTATAAATAAACTATTGAACTAATTAAAGTTGTTATTGAGATTAGATTATCATTAATGATTATTATTTCGAATTATTGCCTAAGTCAAGTTATTATTAAAAGGGTTAGTAAATAAATTATATAAATTATGTAAACTGAATTTTGAACTGAAATTGATTATTTAAATTCGAAATAATGAAATTATTATGAAGTTAATATAATTGGACCAGTAAACTATTTAACCAAACAAATTAAGAAAAACCGAGTTGGGTTATTATAATTAAAGAAAATAATAAGAATGAACTGGAAATAAACAGTTAGTAAGATTTATTAATTTAATATTTATATTTAAAGAAGGAATTATGAAGTTAAAGTAATTGAAGGTTGGATATAAAAGAAATAACGAAATAATAGAATAGTTATTGATTTAGAATTTTGATCAATATTAGAAGGAGAATTCAAGTGAAGATCAAGCTAGAGATTTTATTAAGGAGATTATCGCAATTTAAGGTAAGTTCTATGTCAACCAAAATGTTTTGCCTCGTACTTATATGTATGCAATATTTGCACTATGTGAATTATTTATGAATTGGAAATTATATGTTTGACATGAATCGAATATTTTGACTATATGAATATTGGTGAATTATTACCTTTTATGGATGATTGAATGTATATTCTTTTTATTAAAGAATATTGGTGGATTTATATTTATTACAAAGGATATTTTGAGAAAATGTGACAAGAATGATTTGGGGAAAACTTAAAGTTTTCATAATATATATTCTTACGTCTCGAGAGAAATACGAGGCGTGGGTGGTTAGGGCTACTACTACTTTTGGTGAAATTTATTTGGGTCGGTAACCAGTCCGGCAATGACATACTCCGGTAGACATCCCGGGCTTTTATTTGAGGATCAAAGATCCTTTGGTGGTCGTAGTAGTAGTTACCTAATTTACCCTTGGACAATGTCCCTTGTGAGTAGGTGGTAGAAAACATCCCGCCTACTTGGGTTTCTTACTACTCGGAGGGCTTGGAATCCCTTTTAGAGGGTGTGCACACTTAAGGTAGAAATTCAGCTTCCAATTGGTGGTCGGTGGGAGCCGGAATTCCGGGATGAGTCGTAGATAACAACGACTCATTGGGCTCGAGGAATCTTGAGTTTCGCCCACTCTTAAAAGAATCTAAAGTATTACTTTTGGAAGAATTGAAGGATGATCTTATCTATTGTGGAAATTATTTTATGACATTAAACCATTTTGAAAATATGAGAGACTACTTTTCAATATATATACATATACAAAAACCTATTTTCCAAATTATATTATTTTACGGGTTCGGGTGGAATCTTACTTAGCTCTGAAGCTAATTTTTGTCTCTTTTCCCTTTTTCTCTTTGCTCTATTGTACAGATGATTATGATTATGAAGATTGATGTACTTGCTGCCCGAGTGTTCCGCTAGTTGCACACGTTTGATTAATTATTGTTGTTTAAATTTGTAATCCATAAACTTTGTTTAAGTTTTATCTGATGACTACTTGAATTAATGGTGGATAGCCTGTGCACTCAATCATGTATAGGTTGAGTGTGGCGGTGACACACCTGTTTTTCCATCAAAGACTTCCGCTGTACTCTAAATATGTTTTATAATAAAGATGTTTTCATTTCAAAATGTTATTTTATTTTGGTGGGAAAAATGGGGGTGTTACAATCAACTTCCGCTTTGTAAGACTTAAACACGTCCAAGACTTGAGATTTTTCATGTATAAGAAATAAGTATGCATATCTAGAGTAATCGTCTATGAATGACACAAAATATTGTTGACCATTCCATGAAGGAGTAGGAAATGGCCCACAAATATCCGTGTGTATTAATTCTAAGACATCCGTAGCTCTATATGCACCTTTTTTCTTATTTTTGGTTTGTTTCCCTTTAATGCACTCAATACAAGTATTGAAATCAGAAAAATCAATGGAATTAAGTGTTCCATCGGACACAAGACGTTCAACTCTATTTTTAGAGATGTGACCTAATCGTTTGTGCCATAAAAACCCAGATTGTGCATTATCAGCCTTTCGCTTAGTGCCTCGGGTGTCAACATTCAAAGCATTATTATATGAAGTTATTGTTTCAAGCATGTAAAGATTGTCATATGACATAAAAGAACCAGTCCCCACAATATTTGAATTTAAAGACAAATTAAACCGGAAGTTTCCAAAGGAACAATGATAACCTAATTTGTCCAAATAAGAAACAGAAACCAAATTCCGCCTAAATGACGGAACAATAAAAGTGTCTTTTAAATCCAAATAGAAACCGGTAGATAATAACAATCTAAAATGTCCAATAGGCTCCACATGCACCGCTTTGCCATCTCCCACATAGACGCATCTTTCAACATCATTTGGCTTGCGGTGGCTCAGACAACCCTGCATAGAAATACTGATGTTAGATGTTGAACCGGAGTCTAACCACCAAGTATTTCTAGGCACTGAAGCCAAATTGTTTTCAGTACAAACCAAGGCAAGGACCGTACCTTTCTTCACTTTCCAAGCATGATACTTGGTACAATCCTTCTTCATGTGTCCAGACTTCTTACAGAAGAAACAGGTTGTTTCACCTTCCTTATGTTTCTTCTGTAGTGGACCTTGAGCAGCTTCATTCTTAATGGGAGTTCTCTTCCTCTTTTTACCCTTATCCTTAGAGGTACTAGCCAAGTGAGCACTTTCTATCTTATTTTGTTTCATCCTCTCTTCCTCTTGCACGCAATATGAAATGAGCTCGTTAAGAGACCACTTCTCCTTTTGGCAGTTATAACTAACCTTAAAAGGATCAAATGCAATAGGAAGAGAGTTCAAGACTATGTGTACGAGAACATCTTCCGATATCTCAATCTTAAGTGTCTTGAGCCTAGAAACAATATAAGACATTTCCATAATATACTCCCTTATATTTCCTTTTCCTGAATACCTTTTGGAAGTAAAGTCTTTTAACAGCATGCTTATTTCCGCCTTATCGCTTTTAACAAAACGTTTCTCAATTTCAGAGAGGAAATCCTTGGCATTAGTAACCTCTTCGGATACAGCACCCCTAAAAGATTCTGGAATGCCACGCTTTATGATCATAAGACTTAAGCGATTCGAGCGATCCCACTTCTCATAGTACCTTTTTTCATCTTGGGTACTAGCATCCGTAAGAGAAGCAGGTTGCTCTACCCTTAATGCTAAGTCAAGATCCATGCAGCCCAAAGTTATTAGAATATTTTCTTTCCATTCCTTAAAGTTAGTACCATTTAGGACAGGGATGGAGTTGAGATTGGCAGATATGCTCGAAAAATTGACTGTAGAAAGAACAAGGAAAATGAACATATGCTTTAGTGAAATTGTAAAATGATTTTTAACCCATCACAAGATACCAAATGCACCGTTAGTATTTCATCTTTGGACAATAATACTAATTGCTAGTGGTACTCTTGTTGTAACAATAAAATATAACAATAATACATATAAAAGAAAAATCCACCTTTGGGTTGACTTTTTCTTTTAAAGTGCAACCTTATAATTGTTATATATTTATTATTACCAAAATGTATATATATAACTTGATAAAATATTAATCTTCCTTTGGGCCGATTAATATTTACTTGAACTATATACAGAATATATACTATGTTTAATATTTTATATGAGCCACTTACACAATAGGATCACTTTGGTGACATATTGTTTCTATATACTCATTTAAATATTAAACTCCTTTTATTTTACAATTTCATCATAGTCCCAAACAATCCTTTCGCAATTCTACTTAAAACTAGCTTACGGCAGATAAAAAAAACTTGAGAATTCAACCACGGCAATTTACTCCAAATTGAATCAATCATAATCAACACAACTTGATTGACAATATTAATTATTTGATATCATCAATCAAATTTAAAAGACAAAAGTCTATTCAGGTACTCCGTACTCAATTCAAATTTTATATATGCTATTGCACTCAAATAGCATATATGAACGGTTGCCACATTACTGAATAATTCCACTACGTGTAAATAAATGAGTTCATTTAGTGTTCAATAGCACCATACATGCATATTCACCCAACTATTGATATGACGCATCAATATTATATTATATTATATTTGAATAATGAGGCAAACTTTCATGACAATCAAAATTTAAACTGAATCGCCTATTCATCCATAAACATGGATCGGAAAAATGAGACTTGAACCGATTTGATGCGATCAGAAATTTCATTTGAGAATTTAAATGGTCTAAACGGTTGCCATATCGCCATAAAAATAATTACTTTGCAGCAACTAATCAGAAGCATGTACTCGTATGCCAAAAAACAATTCATGCAAAAAATGAAGCGTTGAATTACTGATTAAAGATTCCGTAAGTATAACGTGCAGCGGAAAGACTTAACGAATCATTATTCAATCAATAATTGCACACACATAACTTCATCAGTCGACTTATTCCAAATAAACATACTTTAAAATAAAGAATGAAGAAACTTTGGATATCATCAGACAAAACCCAGATATCATATTACGAAGTACTCATATCCAGATTCAAAAATTCCATGGATTTAATATGGTAGGTTCTGATACCAATTGTTGGATATTCATATATATATCAACAAAACTCCGTGTGCTATATATATATAAATATATAATAGCTAAATCCATATAAATCCATGAAATCAAATATGTATGAACTAAGATTAGAACAATACCTTGAGAATTCATTTGCATTAACACTTTAAGAAGACCCGGAATCCAACACGATTGATCGGCCTAACCTTCCAGTGCTATGTACCGTATGAGATGTTGATTATTCTAGTCCTACCTATTGATGGGATATATATAGGACTAGTGGAATATTGTAACGGTTGGCCCTTAGTATTCTAATAACTCCTTTATTATTATTACAATAATGATATTATTTATAATAATTTATTAGGCCATTTTCCGTTACAATATCTTTACTGTTATCTCTTAGTTTACACGCACCGGGGGTCATAACCGTTGTATCACTTTAGTGTAATATATTTAATTTGACCCGTCACCAAAAGAAATATATTATCCTGGTATCTACACTTTTATTATTTCATGAATAGCCACTGTATTATTTATTTGATGGTAAACACATTTTAATTAATTACTTATTAGGCCCCTTTTATTGTTTTCCAACAATACGTACTACCTGACTACTTGTAGCATTCATATCTTCCTACTCTGAAAGTAGGTGAATTTGAGAACGATGAAAGATGATATAAATTATTAAAAGTATAATGAGAAGATAATAGAAGTGTGATGGAATCCAGAAAAAAGTTGTAATAATGTATTATTTTCAAAATTGTGGATGATATAATGAGAAGATTTAGAAATAAGAAAATTATTGAATTAAAAATTGGAAAAATAAAATGAGAAAGATATGAATATTATGTTTGAAGAATGTTTGTCCCCGATTAGTCATCCCACCATGTCCAATGCATGACTGTGTTATATAAATAAGTTGGGGGTTTTACCAGAATATTACTAAAATAAAACTTATTTACATAAATATGACTATTCATTACTACAATGTAGTGTTGTGGTAACTTAAGTTCAAAACTTGAACATGAAATCATTACTAGCTACTTTAGTAACTAATCATATTTTTGTAAACCATCTTTATTTTGGTCATATTTATGCAATTATTTCAAATAGATTTTAAGTTTAGTCCAAACTCCAAATAATTGAATCAAATTAGGAATTTAGGATATGCTAGATTGTCAAAGAACTCGTGGTTAGAGGACATCACTATGATATTTCCAAAGAAAGATGTCACAGAGTGAAAGTTCATCGCAGTTTAGAACGTTGTCATTTAACATAGAGGAAATATGATGATATTACGTAGGTTAATATGTGAAGTGAAAACAGGATACATTAGGTTGAATTGTCCCCTACCCGAGCTTGTAACTTATATAATTCATTCATATGTTTTTCTGTGTTCCACAATTAAATTCATTTAGATCTCTTACGGTAATTATTCACTTATCTTTTTTATATTACTAATAAAACGCTAAAATACTTTTTTACTCATATGAGAAGTATATTATTAAGGATGTTTTTATTTTGACTATTTTCAATCACAAATCAGAGCAGATCAAATCAGATTAGATTAAATTTAAATAATTATAAAATTCGTAGAGACTAGACATCTATTAAACCATACAAAAGTAAATAGTAAATACATTCAATCGTACTTTTACTGATGACAAGTGATAAGTCCATACTTTGAAAGTCGACAAAAGTAGTCATTTTGTTTAAAAGCTCATGAATTCAGATAAATTTAGTTGCTAGAAAAAAGAAGTAAATTTTTATAATGAAAACTTTTACGTGTAAACAAATATTGACTCGATGTAGGCAGCTGTCATGGAGTCCTTTGAACACAATATATTAC